GAGGCACTGTGTTATATTTTTGGAAAATTGGTTGTTTATTTCTCAGTATCAAATCAAGTACAGCATTAAATTAACAGTGAATTATCTGACTGAAATAAGTCTACCTTGGTAGCCTGGGGCTGAGCTACAAAAATAAATGTGAATGCTGGCCTGAGCTTTTTACTTCTTCTTTTTTTTTTTTTTTAAATAAGTAAGCCAACTATTAAAATGTCGCTTTATGTTAAAAACAGGACTTCTTTTGAATAAATGTAACACACTTTAAAAGTGAATGTCATTTGATAATAATCATAAAAATAACAAAAATATTTTTTAAAAATTAGGTTAAAATATTCTTTCCATGAATTCTGTGACTTTTTTGGATAATTATGTAAGTGCTAATGGTAGTTCTGAAGATGAATTCTTTCCAAGCAAAAATTTTTAAAAATATAATTTTGAGTGATTTTGACTTCTGAGAAAGTTTAAAAGTTTAAAGTTGTTTAAAAATAATCCTAACTTTTCAACATATATCAACAACAGTTTTACAAAATAATAACAAAATCAGAGAAATTCTATATAATATGCTATTCTGAGATAGAGGACTTAGTATGTACCTATCCAGCATCCACATCACTTTATAAAGTCTCAGGCCAACACATTTCGATTTCTTGCTGAAGAACAGACAACAAATTTACAGTCTGTTTGTAATGGCTCAGATATTCAGATTCTATACTGTTGTTTTGGAGTAAGATAATGATCACCTTTCTAGAGGCGTTCCTACTGACTTCCTGGAGAACATTATCAGTAACCGGAGGGTTTATCACCACCAATCCCATTTCCAAAAGTCCTTAGCCAGAAGTTCTTCTCAATGACCTGGCATCCTGGGAATTTACTTGATCTGCTGGGCAGAGACACTTCAAAGTCGGGGAACATATGATGGGAATTTAGCTTTATGTGTCCCAAAGATATTTAATTTTCTTTGGAGGTTTTACTTGATAATAGCTATGCCCCAGAAAACCATCTTGTTTAACCAATGTGATAAGTTGACAATGTAGTTTTTCTCTCTGATTATAATGTACTCTGTGTAGTCAATACACTGGTACCATGTGAGTGTAATTTCCTCTTTTATTTTATCTCCAATGCACTGTATTATAAATAAACAGTTAAAAAAAACACCAAACAAATCTGTTGCATCTCCTTTTAAGATTGTACCACTGTAGACACTTGTTCTAGTAAAGTAGAATTGGGCGCATTTGATTGCATTTAAATTTTTCATGCTTCAGCAGTTTGGCTGGGAGCACAGTAAAGAAAAATCCCATGAGCGAGGATAGTTTAGAATAATAGAACTTGATTTTGTGTATTATAGCGGCAACATTTGCGCTGCTTTAGTTAGGGTTGTGTCAGCACTTCCATTATAAACCCCTGTTTTCAGGGGGTATAACTAGGGAGATTTTTTTTTTAATACAAATTAAAAAAACAATTCATTTGAATGATTTTTAAGTTATAATAGTGCAAAAATAAAACAAAGTAAAGTCACATAGAAATTGACCATTTCTACAAGGATTCTGATTTTCTTTTACTTATTAGTTGTATATGGCAGCAGCTGAAGTAAGGTGCTATTCTAGTACATTGGGGTGACAGTTTTTGTGATGGGAAATTACTGATATGAACATTAAAATAAGCACAAGCATTCCACAGGGCATTTTAAAACATTAAAATAAGAATATATTTGATCTATGAGTTTTTAAAAGAGAGTAGCCACAGCACAGTGGTTACAGTAGAAGCATTACCAAAAGTCAAGTGTCTTTGCAGCTTCTAGAATATAGTTTATTTGGTCTAGTAAAATGTTTTAAATGGAAAAGCTGAAGTAAAGAGATGAATGAGATGTAACGAGTAAATTGAAGGATTATTTAATAAAGTAATTGTGCAAAAATAATCAGTGACTCATATCTAATAATCAGCAAATTTAAGGTTTATTTAATAAACTATACATTAAAATAATTTGTGCACATTTAACTTAAAAAAGCCCAACCCAAAACAAACCCCAAAACTCCAACAAAACCAACAGTAAAATACAAACCTGAAAGAAACCCAACAATTTTACAAAAGGAAAATGCTCAAGGAAATACCTTGCTAAGAGAACAAACATTATCTTTTCCCTCTGCTACTAATGTATTTGAAAACTATGATAAACACAAAAATTAAATAAAATATGATTTGGAAATTATTATTGAAACAAAAAATTTAATTCCTTTGCTAAAGGTAAGATTTTGAAGTTGAATTGCCTTCCTTGGTTATTAGCCATTGTTATCCTATCTTTCCCATCTCCTTTTTCCCCACAGGGGTGTGAACTGAAGATGAACAGTCAAATTTAATATTGCTTTTTTTTTTCCCAGCCTATGTCTTATTAGCAACCTTGATACACATTTGTATTTGTAGGTGCAAAATAAAAGGCAAATTGTGTGATGTTATAAATAGGTAGCTTTCCTGAATGGTCACTGGAGGAATCACCAGAAGACTGTTGATGAAGTAGAGGTGAAGCCTTTCCTCACTAATTGTATTCAGCGTGTAATTTCTAAACTTCCCTCTGAATTTTGATTTTCAATTAACACTCCCCATTTGAAGATAATTTTCTATTTAATGTAATTGCAGGAAATAATTTATTGGCTGATTAAGACTGAGGACCCAGCCTTCCTTAAGAAAACACTCTAACAAACCAGCCTTTAAACTCAACGCATAACTTTGGGCAGATTTAGTCTATTTTTACAGCTGCATGGTTGTGCTTAATTAGGATTGTGCACTATTGTTCACTGGTGCAGTTTATAGTTGAAATTATTCTTAAGAGACTGTTTTCATTTTGGGTTTTGTCATGATTAATTTATACTAAAGCAACAATCACAGATACTGCTATTGGAAGGAGCCGATTCACTTTATAATGAGAGGATGTTTGTTGGGGAAGCTAAAGTCACTCTGAGTTTTGGATTATGACTTTCAATTGTATTTCACTGGTTTTAAAAGAAGCAGTAAATTTATTCTTTTGTTTTCATTGTGAACGATTGCATTATCGATCCTGTCTTTATCTGAACTATGAAAACACTCGTTTTGGGCAAGCTCTTGATAAACTTGCAGAACAGTTATAACTTGCCTGGTTATACTGTAGTAGTTATGTGACCAGTAAAGTAAGCTCTGTAGTGATTCTTGTATACTGAGACACATCCTTTGTTTATCATCTTCCATAATTATATATGTTTGTCCACTTGTTAGCTCTGATATAAATTGGTCAAGAATATATTTAGCTGATTTTTGATACAGTACTGTTTAAAACATTTATTTCTCTTAAAAAGTAAACATGCTTCTGTATTCCCTTTCTCTCATTTTATTTTTTAGTATCAAGTCTAATAGTTGAAATTTTTATTATTTGTAGAATGATTATTATAAGTAGGTATCAGCATTTTAATATGTTTCAAAGCACTTCAAAAGCCTGTAATTCTTTTATTTAGAACTGTGCATAATTAGATTAGCTGATCTTATATTAATTTTTTTCACCGTAGGATACTAAATCTGAGCCCCCTCATTAATTGTGAGAAATTTGGCATTAGCTGTTAAATCCTATGTGAAACATGGGCTGCTACATAAAAACTACTGTTTAAATTGGAATTAACTTAATTATTTTTCTTTGCACTTGATATTTCCTTCACTGCAATATTCATGAAAGCATGTGACAGATTTGTAAATTTAACTGTTAATCTCAGATTTCTAGGTCCTTTAATCAGTATTTATTTGTCTGTAGAAACAGTACTAGCAAGTTAATGATTTGCTAATTTGAACAATGTTCATGTGGTTTCCTATGTTAACTGATTTGTGCATTTTAAAAAAAATAGTATGAAATCAATTAATGTCAAAGAGCAATTAAGGTGGAGATTTTATTCCTTTCATTACACAGCAGTTTTAGAGCTAAAGATGTAATAAACCAAAAACAACATAAAGTTTTGAAAAAATACTCAATTGCCTCTTCTAAGTTATAAACTTTAAGTAGTTTTATTTCTAAACATTTTGTTAAGAAATTCATCTTGATAAAGTGTTATTCTAAAAGTTTTGAAATCTATTTAATAATCCGGATTTTCTGATTTTATCTGAAAGCACAGAATGGAAACCTGGTGCAGAGTATAATCAATGTTTATTTGTGGGTACATAAAGGAATGTTTTTGGAAGTTTTACATATTATGCATAGTAGGCATCTTACTCTTTTAATAGTAAATGCTTTGAATCTTGTATGTACTTTCTAATATAAAATAGAAGCATAGCTATTTCAGATATTCAATTCAAACGCTACAAAATTTCCTTAAGACAGACAGTGTAAACCACTCAATCAATATGTCACTTAAAAGTTAAGTTATGCAGTTGACACATCTTGAAAGTCTTTAGAAAAGCTTTAGATGACACTAAGTAGTGTTAGACCTAGCTCTCATAATACAAGGTATAAACTAAGAAGTCAGGATCAGATTTGCTTGGGATTTTCATCACGGATTACTTACTCTCCTGGTTATATTTTCCTACATAGACTTCTTTTGTTCCTACATAAACCAGAGGAGAAATTTGGATTTTGTGCATTCAAATCATCCTGCAAACTGGCTCATTTGCCAGTTTATTCATTCCTTTTTTTCAGTGCCGGCCATCAACCTAATTACTCTCAATAAGTTTATAATGTAGTTGGGAGAACTGGAGGAAAACTATTCACATGCATACATTGTACACTATGAAAACTTACTCCATAAAAGTTTCATTTGTGGATTGGTAAGACAAAATATGCAGCAATTATTGGGAAGAGATTCACTGAGTTAAAAGCAGGGAGGGAAAGCAGGACTGATAAGTCAAGAGTTCTTTGGCAGTGATTTAGAGTGGATCATAAATATCTCTAAAGTTAAGAAATTTCTTTTTTTCTGAATTAGTCAAATGCGAGGAATGGTTTACTCTTTTGTCATCGACAACCCTTTTAAATTCACGCTGCTCTCCTTCTTCTGCAGAAGAATGTCTTCCAAGCAAGCCACCTCTCCATTTGCTTGTGCAGTTGATGGAGAGGAAGCGATGACCCAGGATTTGACCTCACGGGAGAAGGAAGAAGGCAGTGATCAACATGTGGCCTCCCATCTGCCTCTGCACCCCATAATGCACAACAAACCTCACTCTGAGGAGCTACCAACACTTGTCAATACCATTCAACAAGATGCTGACTGGGACAGCGTTCTGTCATCTCAGCAAAGAATGGTGAGATTTAAAGATCTGGCTACTGCTACTAAGTGTGTTCCTTAGTATGTCCTTATAAAATAGATGCTCAATAGAGTTATTTTTGTTTAGGTCATAAAACAACAACTAGGTACATATTACTAAAATACATCCTAGCAGCTGGGAAAACTTGAAAGATGGTTTGTGACTTAGTTTATGTCCATTATTAGGTCAACTTTCCAAAATATATTTTATTTATTCATTTTTGTGAGGGGTTTGGTTATTTTAGTTTCTGAATCCCTGAATGGTGGTAAACTTGGTAATATCACAAAATAAGCATGATCAAATAAAGTGTAGCTGTATATTAATACTGAAAAATCAAGCAGATATGTCCATGTGGATGAGGTCATATGGTGAGTATATCTTCAATGAGGAAGTGCAAGTATTTATCATTTTTCATAGTCATTCTTGATTTCTAATAATTTTTTTCACACTTATATGCCTGTGTATTAATTTCAAAGGACAGAATAAGCTCCTGAGTATCAATCAGACTGCAGGAGTTTTCTCTGAAACTAGAAACAAATACACGCAGTGTATTAGGTAGCTTTTCCATGTTAAATTCCATCTTTAACCACCAAAACAGAAATCATAGTAAATTACATTAATTATCTAGTTTAAGCACCTGATCCCTAACCAGGCAAAGTGAGGACCAATGGGAGGCCCAAACTTCACCTGTATGATGACCACTTATGTACCTAATCCTGAATTGTAACCCACATCTTTAAAATTTATATAGAATTACCTAGTTTAAAGCAAAAACATTCAGTTTTTAGCATCTAGAAGAGAATCAAAACCTTAATATATTTTACTAAATTATAAGTTTTAACCCCTTTTTTTTGTATTTCTTAACTTTGGCTAACCAAAAATTAAATAAATGAAAAATATTTTAAGTGGCCACTGAGGAAAATTTTATTCCTTATTAAAAAAATAAGCTAATATTTAAAATGCCTTTACTACTAATAACATTTAAATTTTTAATGCTTGATGTCTCAGAGACTTAATTTAATAATTTATGGAGGCAGACATTTTTCTTTTTCAGATGATTTTGCAGACACAGTCAGTGCTGTAGAGCAGTAGGTGAGAAATAGAGGATTGGAAGAGAAATCATTTCTAGACTAATTTTATTTTCTAAGGGGATCAACACTGTACAATTAGATTCACTGGAAGTCTTATTTTCCTTGAGTAAGGGGAAGAAAGAAGATTCAATAAAGCAAGTCTGTTTTTCTAATAGAAATGTAGTTGTTCTTATACCTCCATGTTAACATGGGCAGGATAGATGTCCAATTGCTGCCACTTGCTTTTGGAAAAAATAATGGTGCTACATTTCATTTTTATTTCAACAAATATTTATTGAACACCTTCTACCCAAGCACTCTACTGGGTGCTGAGTATATAGCGGTGAATAAGTCAATTGTTCTTCATTTCTTCACGGAGTTTATAATCTAGGAGAGGGAATAGAAATGAAATAAACATACACAAATATATATAATTAAAATCATGTTATGTACTGTAAAAAAGAAGAACAGAATGCTATGTGAAAACATAACGGGGCAAACCTAATTTAGAATAGATGGTTAGGAAGGCCTTCTCTGAGCCGGGAATGAGTGGAACCAACTGGGCAGAATGAATGGAACAAAGAGTAGAACTGCAGAGGAAGTGGCGTGTGTGAAGTATCTGATGTGAGAACATTATAGCTTAATTTAAGAAAATAAAAAATGGCTTTTGTGGCTGATGTGTTATAAATGAGGATGTAATGTAGCGTCAGATATAGTTGGGAAGATGGTAGGGGCTATTTCAAACAGGACTCTGGAAATAACATTATGGAGGTGAGATTTTATCTAAGCGCAATGGAAAGCCTTTGAAGGGTTTAAGAACATTTCAGTAGGTAATTCTGTGGTATAATGAGTGGATGGAAGAGAGACAAGGGAGTGAAAGGAGGAGGACCCACTGGAAGTCTATTTCAGAAATCCAGGTGAGACATCTTAGGTTAGTGTAGAGGAAGGGTAGATAGAAGGGATGGGTTCAAGATCTGTTTTGGCTTTTATGCAGTCATAGACACATAAAAACAACTGGACTGGAAATGTGAGTAGAGGAAAAAATAATATATTTCAAATTTTATTTCTTTGAGAACAGTGTACTTATTTTTCCTCCTAAAATTTTGTTTGTATCTTGGTAAGTGCTAAGTTACTTTGGTGAGTTACTTTCAAACTTGTGTGATCTAAAATTTTGTCGGAAAATAAATATTAATAATTTGCTTGCCAAATTTATATTAAGTTGATTTATGATAGTATATAATAGTTTAAAGTTACAAATATGTTATATATAAGTATAAAAGAAATCACCCTTGCTAGAAATGTTTTCAAACTTTCACTCTCTTTTGATAACAAGCATTGATTTCCACTGGAGCCTTTGTGTATTCTGAATGTTTGGAAGCCAAAATATTTTGTTTTAACTCCCACTCTATAGTATTTCCCAGCTGTGTACTTATATGGTGTAATAAAAGGATTTAACAAATGGGAAATAGCAGCTGCATTTGGAAATTCCCTTTGTGCCTCCTTTTCACTGGATAGATTCAATAATGTGTAACAACTGTAACATCAGACCTGTAATGACTTATACTGCAAGTATCGTATCACCAACCAATTTTTCTTTATAGGAAAGAAAAACAATAGAAGGATTTTAGATTTCTGGGCAGACCTGCAAACCTACATATATTGTCTGTGTGTGTGTGTGTGTGTGTGTGTGTGTGTGTGTGTGTGTGTATTAATTTGTGTTGGAGTGGGAGGGCTCTAACTAATGTAAAATGTAATAAGCATTTTACCTCTTTCTATTGTAAAATAAACATGAAGTCCAAAAAGATGTTTATGAAATGAAGTGAAATTTGTAGTTTCCTTTACTGAATCACATTCTTTACTTACTATAATTGAACTCCATAAAATAGTGGTGGAGAAATAAAATTTTAAAGCAAATCTAAAAAAATATCAAAAGAATTTTTTCAGCACCTATTCAGCTTCCATTGTTATTTACTTTCTGTGACAGCCCTCATTTATGAACAGTTAGAAACAAGTCTTCAAAGTTTCTTATCTCCTCTGTTCAGGAAGCGTTTTATTTTGACCACAGAGGAGCTTTTCCGTAAGACAGGGTAAAGACAAAGCAAAGAATTTCTGCTAATTTCCATTTCCTGATTAGAAAAAAATTTAAATATTAAAATTCTGATTATTTCGAGGTGGTACTGCTGCAAAATAGGAGACCACACAGTTTCAAGCAAGAAAAATAATTTGTAATGTATAGCAAAGAAGGAGAATAGAAGTTTTAGACACAGGAATTCAAGGACCAGTTTGAGATAAAAAAATTTTTAGACTCTGATTTTAATTACAATTATTTATATTATGGACATCAAATTGTTCAATCATCAATTTAATATGCTGTGTTAATTGATGTGATCCATTTGAAGGTTGAAAAGTTAGTGTAAATAAGAATTTACTGTCCTCCTCAATGTACAACCACTGCTGTTTTCATGGTGCCAATATCTTTTATTTGCAGAGGAATATTGACACTGTCCTCTAAAATATATTTTTGTTTTATTAGAACAGAATCATTAGGCTGGAATAAATTCACCTAATTGTTTCTATGGAAAATGTACAGTGTATCATTCTTTTTAATGTTAAAAAGCATGGAAGAGTATTTTTGTGGTTATTTTTAATGACCTGTATATCATATTATGTGTAATTATTATCTGCTAAAGATTGTAACTGTAGAAGGGACAAGTAAGCTTACATATTATCTGCAAACTACATGCAGTTTTTGGTGCAAATTATATATAGTTACTTGTTGTATCAAATAGGTAAGTTAAGATGTGCATTCTTTGCCTTGCTTTTTTCCCCCTTTTGCTTTTAGAGTATAATTTAGAGAGGTGTTATTCTCATCACTAGTTACCTGAGTATATAATATCTACTAAGTTTTAGGTACAGGGACTACCCTGTGTACTCACAGACAGGATCCCTGTTATGGAACTTAGGGTCTAGTAGTATGGCAGACAATAAAGAAGTCTCACAGAGCGAGACAATTTCAGACAATGACAAGTGTTTGGAAGAAAAGTGGTACATTAAAAAATGTAATAGAGAATGACTACTTTAAACAGACTGGGGAAGGTCTTTTTAAAGAGACGACATTTAGCCGGGCTCGGTGGCTCAGCTGTAATCCCACGCCTTTGGGAGGCTGCGGTGAGTGGATTGCCTGAGCCCGCGGGTTCGAGACCCACCTGGGCAGCAAGACCTCATCTTTACAATAAATCAAAAAAAAAAAAAATCAGCCGGGCGTGGTAGCGCATGCCTGTAATTCCAGCTACTTGGAAGGCTGAGGTGGAAGGATCACCAGAGCCCAGCAGGTCGAGGCTGCGGTGGCCGGGAGCAGCCACTGCACTCCAGTCTGGGCAACAGAGTGAGACTCCAACTCAAAAAAAAAAAAAAAAAAAAGAGACGACATTTGAGATGAAATTTGAATAACAAGAAGGAGCCGCTGTGTAAAGATTTGGGGAGGACACCCAGCCAGAGTGTATATAATAAGTACAAAAACTTTAGGTTTGTGTGTTTGATCAACAGAAAACAATAGAATGGCTACTGAGGGAAAAAATGGTTTAGGTTGAAATCTGGGAGACAGGCAGATGACAGGTATTATGGGACTCACAGACTACAGTGAGGTGTTTAAACTTTATTTCAAGTGCAAGAGGAAGCCACTGGAAGATTTTAAGCAAGATTTTTAAGCAAGGAAGTAACATAATTTGATTTATGTTTTTGAAAGATCACATTGCCTGCTGTGTAGGGTGGATTGTGGGAGATAACATCAGAAACAGGGCTACCTATTAGGAAACCACAGCTGTACTGCAAGTGAGAGTTTGTTGGTGAGAGAGTGAACTGTTGAGGACGTTATTCACTGGAGTGTACTTAGAGATTCTGGGGAAGACAAAATTTACACCAAGATTGGAGAGAATATTTTAAGTAATGTACATGTGGGCAGGAACTTAGTTAAGAATGAATAAAAAATG